GCGCATAGGCCCGGCGAGAACCCTGCTGCCCCTCGCGTAATCATCAGTCGTCGCAGTCGCAGGCCATCATCCATCGCCTGCTGCCCGCTGATCGTCATCGAGTTCGTCGTTCCCCGTGTGCTGCTCGCTCGTCTCGGCGACTTGCAGGCCTTCATTGTTGTCCGTCGCGTGAGCCATCCCAGGCCGTCGACCACCGCAACGGTCACGCATTACCGTCCCGTGCTGTTGTCCAGCATCCAAGGACCCCAACGCCAGCAGCCACGCGGCCCTTGAGCGAGCCTAGCGTAGCCGCCGAGCCTCGCCGACGTGCTCGAGCAACCCGTTCAGCCCCGGTTCGACCCTCTTTCGTGACCCCGTCCCGAGAATGATACACAGGATGACCCTCGATACATATAATGTGCTCTTATATGTGTTTATGCGTGATAGTTGATGTTAATTTATGCCTTTGAATATTATGCTTGTTAGGTGTAATATTTTGTGTGTTTAATTGTGAGGTATGTTTGATTTTTGAGAGATAATGAGAGGTCTCGTTAAATTCATGCAAGTGTTGTGGTACTGGAACCATATTGAGTCTTTGATCTGATGGTGAAGGCATCGGACAATTTCGATGTTTGTCGAGTCGTTTATGAATTTTCGAAACTCGAATAGCTGCTGAATTTTAATAAATGCATGATAAATTTTATACCTTACCAAATGTCGTGAAATTTTATACGTGACGTCCTGTGGTGATTATTCATGTTGTGTAAAAATTTCATTATTTACTTCCAACTGTAGCTGTTTTTAATAATTATTTTTATTTCTGGGCAGAATCTTGTAAATTGCATATAAAATTGAGATGTGCTCCAAAATGGCTGAATTTTGAATATGATGTACATCTGTAAAATTTGGATGTTGTTTAAGAATATCATAATTTTTAGACCTCATTTTCTAGGGTAATTAATTAAATGTAATATTCTGTTGAAACTTGTTTTAATATTGTAAAATCTCCCCCTTACTGTAAATTGCTAAATTTTGGTGACCATACTTTGGTTATGTTTTATTATGTTGCGTAAATTTTTTAGAATTTTATAGGTTCGTTATGATAGGTTTTTAACTAAAATGATTTTTCTGCTGAATATTGTCAGAATTTTTATAATTCATGTGATAAGTGTTTAAAGCTGAAATTTTTATATGTTGGTATCCACATGTTGTTGCTGCTTGTATAAAAATATCAAGGGTTAACTCGTTCATTTGTTTAGACTCTATAATTGTGCTCGTTTTGCTGGACTTGTTTGAATTTTATAAAATCATGTGTTTTGGTTAAGGGCTGAAACTTAGTGATATTGCTAATTTTGTGTTAAAATTGTAAAGCCAAACTCATTCGTTTGCCTGACCATCTTGAATTGGTGTATTTGCACTAATTGGTTTCGAGTCGAGTCCAAGTGTTCTAATGTCCACAGAACCTCACAAACGACTTAGTTGAATCAAGTTCTACTAAGTATGATTTGTGTGTGCTTCTTCTAAGGTCAAGATAAGATATTGATTATAGTATCTTGACTTAATGTAGGTGCTTGACGAGCCGAGCTCGCCGCCCACCCGTTATTGTTGTGCTTTCACTTGTTTTGGTCCAGGTGGGTTTATTTATGAAATTTTCTATGTAGTAATTAATTGACATTGCATGTGGTATGACCAATGTATGCATGTGAACCATGTAGCCTTCGATGTGAGTTGTACCAGCCGTCGAACGGTTATCCCCGTAGTTATAGAACGTACCCTTTGTGTAGTCTCCTTTATTATTGTTGGCAGTCAGGGCGTGAGCTTTGGCTGGCGATCCTCATTGGTAAGTCCAAGGCGTAAGTCATGGCCGTCAGGGTTGCTCCATATAGTCGGCACTCGTTGTAAGTCCTTAGCGAAGGCGTTCAATATATAGTTCAGCATTAGTCTATTGCTATAGGTGCGCACATGAGACTGATTATTGATTATTGATAGGAGATGAGACGATTATTTATCCGTATACATGCTGCGACCATACCT